GTCGTGATAATTAAAAATCAATATTAAATTTTTCAGAGCGCAACAATGAGAGTGTTAATTTCCGCCGCTGTTGCGGTTCTTTGTTTCTCTGCGGTGCTTTGCGCCGACACCCACGAGCACACTAAGGTCGTATGCTATTGGAACAGCACAGCCTTCGAACGACAAGGTAAATTCTCCTTCGTTACTCGTAAATCGTATCATCAATTCTAAAATGTTAAAATTATCAAACATTTTTTTTTTTATCTATTTCAGGACCAGGCAAATTCCAGTTAGACGACGTCCGCTCGGCTTTGAATCTCTGCACGCATCTCATCTACGGATTCGCTGGAATCAAGGCAGATACGTACGAAGTTACGCCGTTGAATCCGAATCTGGACACCGGAAGTGGTTACTCTTATTACAAACTGACCACTCAGCTGAAAAGAAGCTTCCCGGAGCTGAAGATTTACCTCGGCATCGGTGGCAATGCCGATCCAGACTTCGAGACTCACAAATACTTACTTCTCGTGAGTATCATTATCAATTAATTACCAATTATCAATTATAATTTTATATCCTATTTTAAACTGGTGTTACAAACGATTCCTCTGTACAGACTGAGACGTCCGAGGCAAGAACCAAGTTCATCAACTCTGTGAATCGTTTTCTCAACGACTACGACTTCGACGGTATAGATCTTGCCTGGGAATTCCCACCGGTGAAAGTGAAGAAGCAACGCAGTGCTTTGGGATCGTTGTGGCACGGCGTGAAGAAGACCTTTGGCTATGGTAAATTCAAGGACGACAAGGAGCAGGAGCACCGCGATGGATTCACGATCCTCGTACGCGACCTGAAAGCACAACTCAGGCCGAAGATGAAAGCCCTCACGGTCACTGTCCTGCCACACGTGAACAGCAGCAGTGAGTATTTATTTGCTCACTTTCGAAGCTCGTTAAAATTCATAACTCGTCTCGTTTAAATCCGTAGGATACATTCGGTTGTTATTCAAATCAGATTAAGATCCCTGCTTATTTATACGAAATTAGATAGAAATCGCGGAACGTGTTTGGTTTGAAATTAGCAAGGTGACACCGTTACCCCTGTGTGTCTAATTGGCCGGTGTCACGTTCTCTAAATATTAACATTTGGGGAAATGGAAATTAGATTTGCGATACGTTTTCACGGAAATTATCTCAAGGTTATATGAAGTACGTGTTATGCAAAGTATAATTTGTTTCTAGTTTACTACGATGCGAGACTGCTGGCACCGAACATCGACGCTGTGCACCTGTTCACTTTCGATCAGAAAACACCGGAACGTAACCCACAGGAAGCCGATTATCCAGCACCCATTTACGAGAGCTACGGACGCATCCCTGACGACAACGTCGACACAACCACTAGGTGAGAAATGCACTTTTTACAATACGGTAAATGCGAAGATTTACCGTATTGTAAATCTAGAGGAACCTGGATAAAAATTTTGCATTTACCAAAAAAAATTTCTTAGCTCCTATCGACTATTTTAACAATTCAAAAATATCCGTAAAGTATGAATTCATCTTCAAGGTACTGGCTGGAGAACGGTACCCCCGGCTCGAAGGTCGTCGTGGGAATCCCGACGTTCGCCCGTACTTGGAAACTCACCTCCGACAGTCAAATATCAGGTGTACCGCCCGTTACCACCGATGGTCCAGGAGCTGAGGGTCCTCACACGCAAATACCAGGCATTCTTTCTTATGCCGAGGTCTGCTCTAGATTGACGGAGAGCGCCGTGGGTCGTTTGAGACGCGTGGGAGACCCGTCGAAGAAGTATGGAAGCTATGCTTATCAGCCATACGACGCTGACAGCGGCGCCGATGGCATTTGGGTGGGCTACGAGGATCCCGACACGGCCGGGAATAAAGCTGCTTACGCTAAAGCCAAAGGCCTGGGTGGGGTGGTTATTTACGATTTGTCGTTGGACGATTTCCGAGGTGTCTGCACCGGAGATAAATACCCAATCGTCAGAGGTGCCAAATACAAGCTGTAGAAAAAGTTAGAGACTGACCAGTCGTGGCCAATTGCACAGAGTACCTCTTAAGTTCCTTCAACTTCGAAAAATGTATCTAACGTTCGTCGATCCGTTTGGCCACGGCATTCGCTATGTATTTTTTATATTCCTGATGCATTTCTATTTCTTAAGTGTCCGAACGATATAGGCAAGAATTGTTTTACGTAATGATGCAGAATAAAAATTCTTGAAACGTTCTCCATCTCGCTCATTCATCCATTCTGTCCAATAGGATCCAGGGAATAAATTTTTGTTCCGCCTGTAGATATAATATATATATATATATGTATGTATATATATATGTGCAGTCTATGAATTCGGATAAACACATTTGCTTGGGTGTGTACGAAAGGTTTCCTTGTAAATGGACTAGACTCGTTAAATATATCAAACGTTAGGAGTTATGGCACACGAGACACAGCTAATCCGTAGCCACTCATACACGTAGAAATGAAACAGTGTTCCTTGAAATCTCTCGCGCGTCCGTTCCTCGTCTGTACTTATCTGTACGCTCCGTCGTGCATCGTTCGAACTCAAGTTATCGTCAAATTCATTCGTGCACAAACAATGAAACGCTCTTCTTTTTGTTCCATTTGGTTCCAGTTTTTGTCCCCTGATTTGTTGTTCCACTGACCAAGAATAAGACCAAGGCGAGACAGTCGAATCGTTTTCCGGGACTGACTTGGAAATCATTATTTCTTTCTTTTTTTTTCTTTTACGTAGATTTCGTTATGACGAGTGGAATAATAAATCAGACGTTGCGACAGGCGAACACATCCTGCAGCGTAATACTTAGAAAATACTGGGCGTGGTAGTTGGAATAGCTTACACACTATAGTACAGTTATTAATTCGACGTTACAGTTTAACAGGGGTAGGGCACTCGTTACACATTACGGCGTTATAATATAATGAAATATATCATATACGTATGTACGTAGCGTTACAACGACACAACAGTTTATCCCTGATACTTATCCTAATCTACTCTGGCCACGGTCCACGTGAAGTATTAATTGGAACTCGTTCGTAAACTTTCATTACTCATCATCCCGGCGAACAATAGGATTTCACATGAGATATAAAGCAATTTCGGTTCAAGGTTCGTTTTGAAAATATTATTTATCCGGACCATTAGGTCGATTTTCTAATTAAATATATACTATAATGAAATGTGCAAACCTGATCTTGGCAAGTTTTTACGAACGAGTTACGATCGAGGACGATCGAAAGATTCTAAGCAGGAACAGGACACACTCGATGAGAGATGGCGATTTGTTGAAAGCAGATCTGCGACTAGATTACAGTGGTTTGGACAGTGAAAAAATAATTACGCGGACACTCTTTCACGTGACTTCCCTCTACGCGGTGAATATATATCGAGTGAAACGTATTTCTTTCATGCTCTCTGAGATGTCTGATCACGAAAATGCAACTGAGATACTCCCAGTCGAGGATACTCTCTCTTGCGTTCAGCGAAAATCAGTTGGTTTTTAATTAGACTGGAATGGATTTTTGGTTGACTGGTCGGAAGTTCTTGAAGGTACGTCTCCCTTGATGTCTCGATTCTGAAAATTTTCAGCTGCAAGCTTTTATTCGTTCAATTCGTCGCATACCCACGAGAACCTCCAGTTGTAAATGCATATTAATTAAATGCAAATCACGCGATTGGTCGTCAGATGTATTATTGATTTGAATTTTTGTTCGTAAACGAAATGAAAATTCAGGAACGAGAGTTCGTAGAAATTTGTATGGAGAACAAATGAAATCAGTTTCATTAGTTAAATGTTTCTTGGGGACGGAATTAGTTGTAAGGTATAAGCGTGTAGGTGTTAGAATTTCCGATTGCGATTTTTAATTCGGTTCGATGGTACACTGAGATTTTCGTCAGGCAACCCAAAATTACTTCCCAACCAAAATTATCGATTCTACCGTTCGGAATTTAATTATAAGCAACACTCTGTTCTATCGTCTTGCTCGTTGCTACGGCAAAGGATTTTTATTCGAAGACGGGGTAATGAAATTTGGAAATTCACGCGACAGACTAACGAAAGAGGACCTCTAATATCGATACTACACTCTTCTGCAATTAAACTGAATTTCATTATCGATTATCTCGGATTTCATATTTAATCGATCAAGCACCTATTAAGTTCCCATTCGTCGGCAAATATTCCATCGCTTCTTATCCAAATATATCTCTCTCGATTATCAACTATTGCACGATACGAAACATTTAAGCTCATCAAAAATTCATCACGTTCAAAATACCCAACAGAACATAAACGACTTACGAGAAGTTAGTGAAAAATTAGTAAAAAGAAAAGCACAACGATAACGAACAATAGACTCCTGATAAATGCATAAATAAATGACGAGATAAAATAATTATGCAAGGCTGTCGTTTATGTTTGAAAAAACGATAAAAACATGTCCTCCGGTGGCGATTTTACCAAACGGAAGCGTAAACGACGAAAGAAACTTCTTATTGTTAAACACGCGCCGAGTAACGCGTTTGTGCGGCCGCCAAATTGAAAATCTGGTGCTCAAAAGTGATCACGGCTCAAACCCTCCTCAGAGAATACCCATACATACACGACAATGATTCCACATATATTTAAATAGCTCTGAGAAGCGGACCAACCGTACGAGGTCGTCGACGTTAATAGAACGAATGATATCCTACCTAACACCGTCCACGTTTCCACTCCGAGCACCAGAGAGAGAGTCCGCCTGCGGCGTCTCCGCCGCCTACGCGAGTCTCTACATGACAGAACACCGTGTGACGTTGTACCTAGCGTCTTGGTCCACATTGTTCACGCTGAGCACACGGAGCAGCCTCTCCGTGTCCTTGCACGCGTGTTTGCTGGCCTGTTGTTGCTTCATCAGCATCATCGGCGCCTTCTTCTTCCTCTTCTTCTTGGACTGCGGCAGGGTCAGCTCGAGCATCTGCACGAGCCTCAGCCGGAACGGCCAGCCGGTCTCGTTGTGAACCTTGTCCCGGAAATTCGGCTTGTTGATCTTGCGCACGGTTTGGAAAGCGTCGTTGGCGGGCATCAGCTTCCTAGGCTGAGAGAAGGAATCGTGAACGCGAACCGGACGAGCCAGGGAGGACCTCTTCTTGGCCGGAGTCGGTGGCAGCGGCTGGTTCTTCATGGACCTGACAATGTTCGTGGTCTTGGGGTTCCTCAGGGCTCGGGTCTCGTCCAAACGTGCGAAGATCCTGGCGTTGTCCTTCAACGACGACGAGTTGATCGAGTTGGTCAATCTGTAATTACTGATACTGCTCTTTTGCATCAGATTATTGTTCTTCGCGTTCTTGACCAGCTTCAAATTATTACTAGTAGTGACGCTAGGATTGTTGTTGTTGTTGTTGTTATTATTAATGTGGTTCTTGTTGTTGTTAACGCTGTTGTTGGTAACGGTGGTCACGTGGCGGCACTGCTCGGCGCACTGCAGGCAATCGTAGTACTTCTCGACCGCGATCCGGCGCACCGAGAATCGTTCGTGGAGGTCCGCGCGGTTCTGACGCTCGCCCAACTGGCGAGGCTGTCGTCACACCTCCTGGAGATACTTCAGCGGGCACAGAGTCTCCCTGTACAAGACCTCGCCCTCCTTGCCCGTGTGGTCCGCCGATCTGACGTCCGCAGCGCAGCGCACCATCGCCACGCCGTCCACCTCTTCTCCAACCTGGATCACTATCTGAAAAAGAGAATAACGCTTTGGTCGTTAGTAAAAAACTGTCAGCGATTCTCCTCCCGCGGTGTATGTACCTGATCACGTAAGAGAGTGATCTGGTCGGTTAACTGCAGATTGCGAGTGACTTGAAGAGTCTTCTGGCCAGACTCAACTCGCATCACATAAGCGCTAGGGAAATAGCCGACTCGGCCACCCAGACACTTCCCCTTCCACCAATCCTTCTCCGACTTGTCGATCACCGTCACTTTGTAACCAGCCCTGTGTCAGAATTAAATCTCGTTGATACAACCGTCTTCCTTCTGGACTTCCAAGAGTCAAGAGTCGAGCTATTTTTCAAATGATTACTTCAGGTCTAATTCGTCGCGATGTCGCGCCTCGAAGTTGTACAGCACCACGTAGAGGTTGTTGGGGGGTAGAACACGTTTTCCAGGTGGATTTATGTGATTCTGGTTGTTGGTGTGAGGCGACGGGCAAGGGGAGGTGCTCGCCGATGAATAAGACTTCTCGTTCTCGTCGGGCAGCTCCATGCTGGACATCCTGATGGCACCTCGGACGTGCTTGGGTACACCATGGCCCTGACCGGGGCTACATGGTGCTGCAATCGGATTCCCTAAGTCATGAAAACGCATTTTCGTCACTTCTGAGGCCGACCGAATCGGGCCTACTCACATAATCTGTTGATGCTTCCGCTGTCCGAGTGTCTAGGCGGTGTGGACTCCCTCCCGGTGGTGTAGTAGTCTCGCGGTCGATGCCGAACGTGTGCCGTGCCCTCCGGGGAATCCAGGCTGAGGCTCTTCATCCTCAGATTTAATCTCTCGCGTTTACGTTGCGGGCTATGCGGCGCTTCATGTTCCATAATGAGCGATCATACGAAGTTAGCCTTTGCGATTTACCTCGGCGCTCGACATTGACGCCAGTTTACCAAGCAACGTTAATCGATAGCAAATAGAGCCTGTTTTCTTGCAGGGAGCAGTTCCATCAAAAAGTTTACCTACCATTCTCGATTACTTCGTTTCTATCGGTTGCAGAGGAATTTATAAGCGACGTTACTACGGTCTTGCGTAAGCGTAAGTTCACAGCAGGCAATGAAGTTTGAGGAATTTATGTACCAGTAGAAAGTGGAAAGAAATGCATAGTTCCAAGTCAGATGTATAGTTCCCGATAGAGTCATACGTCGATATGCGTGCACGGGACTGCGGTATGCGACCACACGTATACACAGACAACGTACAGGTATAGAATACTTTTCATCTAGTCTCAGACAGCGGGTTGGATTAATTTTTTCTTTTCACCCTGGCGATATTGTATATTTGTTTGGCGTCAAAGTCGAGGCTGGCAGTGAAAACACACACCCACACACACACACACGATACACGAATGCCATATATATATATATATACATATAGATATACGTTTGTACCACGGATGCACACAGAAAAAATATTTTTCTCGTCGACATCGACGAGAAAACAAATTCATGTATATTTTTTTTTTAGCAGGAACATTTAGAAAAAATTGAAAAAAGTGAAAAAATACGGGACACGACTCGCGCACGCGTAGAAGTGAAAGTAGAGAAGCTTGCAGGAGAAAATATTTTTATTTACAATATGTACATGGCTTCTCCCTCGTATCTTTTAATTTTTTCGGCACGTGTAGATTTACGCAACACGTGTTCCTTATTCATTTTCGTTCTTCCTCTATTTTTTTTTTTCGTTTTTTTTTTTACGTGAATTCTCGAGGAAGTAATAAATGGTAAAGAGAGGTGGGAAATCATCGTGTGGAACAATGTTTAATAACTCAGACTTGAATTTAAGCGTACACTTCCGTTGAGGTTTTATGTATATGCTGGCTCGATAGAACAATCCGAGATTTAATAAATTCGTTTCAAAAGAAACTATGCTAACCGGAACTGAATTAATTCGTGTTTCAAAATCGCAAAAAAAGTATAGGTAAATGTGCTGGGATCCTTACCTTTTCTGCATAGTCTTTTTTGAAACAGCCTGCGTTTAAAAAATAAAAAGGCTGCAAATAATTTTCACGGATTTTCGGTTTCACAATTTGGTCGTGCCGAATTCTCGATTGAAATTCGGCATTCCCAAAAAAAAGTCTAAAAAATATTCGGGTGGAAAAACTACGATTCGCTCGAGACTTAGGCTACCTTGCATTCACGTACCAAATGTAAACGTGCATTTATACTCGTCGAAAGTATTAAAAGGGTAGGACTGTGGAAATAAATGATCAATCGCTCGTTTCGATATTAAACATTATATGAAAAATATTCAAAAATAAATAATTAATTACGAACATAATTTTGGCCTTGCGTGTTTCATTAGAACAAAATTAAAAATAATTCCATCTTCCTCAGCTTCTTCTTTAAAATAACACCCAATTCCACAGAACTCACGAACTTCGTGTCTTCGATTCCACCCTTTTACAGTTCATTTCACAAAACGGAAGTCGTTCGATTATGTGAAAATTCGTGGACCGTTCGTCATCGTTTTTTATTGGCTCTTCGGTGGGGCGGTTGTGGCAGCTTTTGAGACGACGTCGACGGCTGGCTCATCAACACTAGCGGCTGTCCAAAAGGTCTGGTCGCGGACATCGACCCACCACTGCCACGTCCTGGTCGCAACGATCCTTCGATTGTCAATTTGAACTCACTAACGCCACTCCAAAGCGAAAGCTTGAAAAACCTGGCTCCGATATGTTACATTGTTAGTCGATCAAATCCCGCAACTTCCACTGCGCCGTTGAATTTGTTATTCTTTCTCTCTCATTTCGAACGCATTTTCAATTGTCTCCACGACGATTTTAGTTAGTCCATCCACTGTTACATATGCGATTTCCGAGAATTTTGTCGGTTCTCTTTAGGAAAAGCTTAAGTGTTTCGATATTGGGGATCTCGGATGATTGATCAACTTCGGCCGTGTGTTTCTGGCCCCTCGGTTAGGATTGATGAACCGGGATGATAAAGCTTCGACGAAAAACTGGGAAAATTGTTTTTCTCGATTGGGAAAGGGCCAAGGGGCGAAGTTGGGATTGCGGGTCCGCAAATCGCGTCCTCTTGAGAGCCCTCGAGCAGCCCGTGGCGATCCTTGGTAAGATTATCCGACACTCTCAACTTTTTCTTCCACGTTAGCACATCACACAATACCGTGACAAAAATATTAATGAAAAATTATCAATCGTTTTTTTTTTTGTGATGAATTAAAATACGCTCCCTGGCTGATGATCTCGCGAGGATAAATGATGAGGCCATCAGTTTCGTACGCGGGTTTCAATTCCCTGAGTGTGTCGGGGCAGAATAGAAGGCGCAGAGAAAGAATGAAGATGAAGCAGGAGAAGACAGAATGAGAGAGAGAGATTGGACAGATAAAAAGAAAGAGAAATAGGCAAAGTTACGAGTCATGTCCCTGGGAATAAGAAGCGTACTCTTCCGTTGATAAAAAGAATAAAAGAATGGGTTTACGTGCCACCTTGAAGCAGAGACCGTTCATAAGTTATTGCTACTCGATGGGCTCTCTTCGCGGTGCAGCCCCATCAAATTTCTTATCTAACTCTTGTACATTAAATACTGCTTTAAACGAAACAAACAGTATCTCTTCTAAAAGGTTTTCCACCTTCCTATTCATGAATCTCATTGCGATATCAATTAACATTTAAAAAATCCATACTTAAAAACGGAGTCACTTAGGAGACCTCGAACACATCTGAAATCATTCACGCTAGAATAAACGTTCCACACGTTTGAAAGTTTCTTTAGAATTGACAATTTACGTGCTCGACAAGTTGGACCATTCGTCAGCAATTTCCTTTCGTCACGGTGAGGTGCACCCGAAGAGAGGCACTTTGCGAGAGCCCGACTCTTTTGTGAAAACGCAGTCGAAAAAAAGTGAGTGAAAGAGAGAGAGAGAGAGAGAGAGAGAGGAGAAAAAGAATCGTATTCTCTCGGGCAATATCGGTCCGGCTTCAAGGTCGAGGGGAATCGGTGCTGTGCCTTACCAGAGGTGGACGAGGAACAGGGGTGGGAGGAGGCCCTCGCTGACGAAGGTGCTGAGGGATGATCTGCTGTGGGAGGCGTAGGTGGTGAGTTTGTCGAGTTTCCACGGATCTCGCCTGCCTGCTTCAGCACCTGGTATATGACGTCCACGTCTGCCCGCACGGATAGAGAGACAGTAATGCAAAAGCACACGACCACCACGTGGTGCCTTTCTCTTTGCCTTTTCTTTTTTTTTTTTTTTCTTAATTCGTTATCTCTTTGTTTCAACAAAAGCTTGGACCTGGCTCTCCGATCGGGAGCAACGGTCCCCTGGACAGCAAGCGTATTAACTTGCGGGGTGGTGAAATTATGCGTTAATACAGTGTACGTGAAACGGAACAAGTGTGTCCTATTTGCGTCGAATGAAACAAAGAAAACGATATGCATATTTATAGAGTGATTACTTGTGAATTAGAGGACACTTGTTGCTCACGGGAGCTGTGCTTCCGAGCCGGGAGCTGGGTCTCATTATCGTCAACTGACAGTGTGTTAGCGCCGCCTGTTCAGAGTCACCTCGCGCGTTAAACAACGGGAACGGTTAAACGAAAAATGCCATTTAATCGAGGAGAAAAATATGGAGCACAGCGTAGTTTAGTTTAATACAGTTTGGGAATGAATCCGGGACGTAGGTAGCCATGGGTGGTAACGAAATTGCCATCGATCGTTCGCAGGATGAGTTCGCTCTGACGTCAGTTCGAGTGGCGTTCAAAGGATTACGAGTATGGCCAAGCTTTCAATTAATTTCAGCTTAATCGCAGGACTCCTCGATACATTTTATTTGTCTTTAGTTTTGTTCAGCCCTTGAGCTTTCTAATATTGTGTCTCAGCGATTCTGAACAGGGAGAACCGTAACACTGACAGTCAGCCACCACACAGAACACCGGGTATACATAGAGAAAGAGAGTGTCCCCTTTTCTGAGTGAGGGACGCGGGAAGGTAGAAAAGCTGAAGGGCGAATGATCCGATTAAGTTTGGGTTAATTCGCGGTGGGAACGTGATCTCTGAACCGTTGCGCCTCGCGTGTATCGTGATTACAGGAATCGGCTGATCGGTGAAATATGAGGAGCAGAGTTTCGTGCACGGTTTCATCCTTTTCGTTTGCTTCCGGTTCATTCTCGTTGACAGACCAATCGATACCGCGCACGATAACGGAACTGATCTTTTGTGTGCTCTCATCTCGAGCCTCTGATTTCGATCTCAAATTAGCCGCCGCACGGCTCTAATTTCATCGAGCTCGCCCACTCTCGTCGAACGAAAGAGAGTTAATCGACAGAAATTTTTTTCGATAAACTGAAAATTGCCGAATTACAATAAATTAGATCGGTTCGATTGATCAGCGCGTCAATCATCCTCAACAGGGAGAGAGAAAAAGAGACAGAGAGAGAGAAAGAGAAAAAACAGGGAGCCCCGGCCGCGAGGCAGGGAGACGAAAAACTTTCACAAGCACACTGTAAACTGGTTCGTACTTACTGTGCTCGGCGATCGGCGTCTCATCCACTTGGGTCTGGGTCTTCTGACGGCGGAGCAGGGGAATACCACCGCTCTTCTTCGGCAGCAGACTCGGGCATGTCGCCGGCTGCACCAGATTGATGCAGTCCGTGTGAGCGTTCGCCTTGCAACCGCGACATCTGACACCTTGGCGACTGTGACCCCGGAGCACCTGGCCGCAAGCATCGCACGGGGTGATCTTCTTGTAGGTGTACTCGCGCCATGAATGACCTCCCTCGGACTCCAAACTTTTTCTGAAAGAAACATATTTTCCATTTGATCAATAAGAGTCTCGCCTCCTGACGATTCTTGAAATTCCTACAGCGTTTCCAAAAGCGATCACAGCAGTGCAACGATGGTTTACCTGGACATGGCGACGACCGTGGAGACGGCATGGTACATCGCCTGTTTCCCTCTGTGTCAGTGTGTTAGCATTCGCAAAACAAGGTTCCGGTTAATCGGGGACAACGTAGGCACGCCGATATCAAACGCGATAAGCTACTAACTTGTCAGCCGTCGGCGGGGTCGTAGGCGAGCTCGTCTTCAAGCTCTTGAACGCTTTCAGCCATTTGTGCTTGGTACTTCCGGTCGAGCCATTCGACATCTTCCGGCCGCTCACCCCATCCGGTTGACCGGCCTCCCCAGCCCCGAACAGCTCCTTCTGCAATACCGAAACGGGCGTCAGAGATAAAATGGCAGAAAAGTGCTATCGCTTCGCCAAGGGAATTCTTTAATGACCGCTCGATCTCGAATTATTATATGAATTAACTTAATTGACCCATACAATTTCCTCCCATTTCATTCGTCGACATTGAAGATGTCCACGAAGCGCTTTTTGAAGTTGTCACGGCAATTGAATATACGAAATACGATGTACTCGGCGCAGTTGTTGAATGGAATGCGATAAACATTTTCAATAGCTCTTTTTGCCGCGAGTCCAATTTCAGTACGTGATCTGAATGGGAATAGACCAGTTTCTGCACGAGTTGTTTGACGGCTCGTGCGAGACTGTCCGCTAAATAGATATCCAATGAAAGGGGAAGCCAGAGCGGTTTTAATGCGACTGAGAATTGAATTAATTGGATTCTGTCGGGGATACCTGATGGCTCGCGCCCACCTGACAATTTTATTTCGCTTATTTTAATGAACGCACGTGACAATGGACAATTTTCTTTTAATTAAAAAGTTACTCTCTGACGTTACGTCGGTATTATATAACTGCTGACGTAATCCCGTCAAATATAATCCACGGGGCGTATCGGTGTTCTCATTAATATGCAACCGAACCGATCAGGAAATGGTATAGAACGTAATTACCAATTTAGATCAAAGTATCTATCGACGATATCACCTGAGATTGTCATCGATTTCAAGCAGGCCATTGTATCTATTCTATATCGCTCGTTATGTATAACGCAAAGGTTTCATTCATGAAGAGACTAAAGGTGCATCGACCAGGCGGCCAAACCGCGCTTAACGTCAATTCATACTTGGATTCCCAATCTGGAAATACCGAATTGCGTATCCATGATAAAACAAATTTTCTCGTAAATTCGCTACATCGTCAATAAAGAAATACAGCAGGAGAAGAAGAGTAATCGTGGTCCCGCGCGTTTCCAAGCGTCATAGCTGTTTCCACTCACGCAGCTCCATAAAATCGTCGCACGGAGCGTGGCAAAGTGGCCCTCGAAGAGTCCATTCTGCCCGCCAGGAAAAGTCACTCTCCGACCGATTCATTCGACCACACATCACCTCGGGACACGTGCCGGGTTAACCACGCGTCTCGTCCCAGCCACGGGCCGTGCACCGACGAACACCCAGACACCATTCGTCACGTGTCCGAACACCATGCACAGCTGTTCCCGCAGGCTCGGTCGACCTAGCTTTCCCCGTTCCCGACCGTTTCACTGATCCCGCGGGACTATCACTCAGAGATCTCATCGAGAACGACCGGGCGCACTGTCCATCGACGGTTCCTAGCCGGAGGGCAACCGGGGAACGTCGCAGTTAAGCGCATAGCAACGGACACTGTCGGCAGGAGAGCGCGAATTCACCCGTGGAACGCATCCCGCGTCTCGTGGAGCTGCACCGACGGCCGCGTGCCACCGCAGGTTGCGGTGACCCGGATCCACGGCGGAAAGCGAAAGGGAACAGGTGTTCCAGGTTCAAGGAATGATACTAACGACTCGTGTGCGCAACGTTGTCCAGCCCATCTTAGCGAGGACTTAACCAGACTCCTCCTGCCACCCTGACCTAGGAGAGCGGACTCGAGGCCAGGAATGGATTTTCAGACGGCCGCCGACGTCGAGAGGGTGACCCAGTTCGGAGGGCGCATGTCGCGCGATTGCGCGCCGTATTTATTCGGCAGCGCCGCGTGTATCCGCAGCAACCTCGCGCTTCCGCCCGCTGTTTATGCGTCCGCGGCTTCCACGCACTCCAGATATCCCTAATCCCGGATTAACTTCATGCGAATTGACGATTGCAGAAGATTCCAACAACGCGATTATTTTTATTACCAATTCGATACGGATTTCGAGAATATCTAAATATTCGACCTCTGAACCTAGTCTGAAATACTTTAATTTTTTAAATCAGTAAAACGATTTTTATCAATCGAGGAATATCGATCAGACGTTTGAGGTATTTCAACCGAATTCGAATTGAATATTTCTAAAAATATTCAAGACATTTGCGAATATCGTATCGCAATAAGTTAAAGGAAAGAACGATCTGTTTTCCTTAAAACGTAGGAGTCAATCGAGGATCGGTCGATGCGGCAATTATCGATACCTAGACGGTGTTCCATGGGCTCTGGTATCTGCTGACAGGTCCATTAGGACGCGTCTTGTTGAAAATTTTAACAGAACTCGGCCCCAATATCGATCCTCACCTCAATGAATGCGCGCCAATTAAACGAGCTCGCTTCAATTTCTAATCTCCACGACTACGTGTCCAATTCCGAAGATCTATAGAGTTGCTCTAGTCTACCTCTCCTCGATGAATCAAACCGATGTACCAAGTTCGCAACTCCATTAGCATGTCGAGACAAAAACTGGCGACAATGTCGCGTCGCTGTCTATTTTAAGCGAATCGGTATAAGATTTTGGCATCCGTGTAGCAGTTCCAGGATCAGGAGACGTCGAGTCTAGGAATCCAGCGAATGCTTCACTGGAACGTTTGAATCAGGCCAATCGTCCACGGCAAGAACGATGCGCATGTATGCAAATCGATATCATTGGATATAGAACTGCAGACTCGAAGTCGCCAGCTCATATAAAAAGAAACAAACATCCTCGTCATCCCTCTTACAGTCTCTCCTCTTTTATTTCCTATCCTGTTATTCTGTTTACCTGGAATTATACGAGTTCAATAATTTTTTGTCGAACTTAAATCTGGATTTAAATCTATAGCTCCTAAATATAAATTTTCTGACTCCTTTCATCCTCCCATATTTTCTATTATTCTAAATTCTGATAATTTATCATTCGTACAACGTTAACATAATTTCCATTTTTTAAACACAATGTCTTCAGTACGCTTCCGTTAATTTCCATCGCGTTTCAAAACTTTTGACCGCGATCCGAGTATCGACAGACGCGCGTCAAAGCGTTCGAGCTGCGAAAAGCTAGAACGTTCCTCGAGGCACGTACGCGTCCGAGTTATTTTCGCGCCGGGAAAACGGGATTAGCAGTACGGATTCACGTCTTTTTGAACCCGTTTCCTTTTTTTTTCCTTTTCCCCACTTAATTCATCCTCGTCGGCGCACGAGTGCCCGAGCGCGATTTTCATACGACGGAGCGCGGAATTTCGTCTACACCCGTGAGTTCCCTTCGCGTACCGAACTCCTGCCATGAATGCTTTTTTAATGTCGCCCCAGCCGCTGCTTTTACCCTCGCAGTCCCATTGCCTGCGGCACCGGCTCTGTCTACCTGCTCCCTCCTTTCAGTAGACGCGTCAGGTTTTATTAAACGAAATTATTTATACCAGAGGGCTTGAATTATTTCTGCTCACTTTATACCAGATTCAATTGACTCCACAAATTAATTCTTCGACTTGCATGTATTATAAGTAGCTTACGAAAGCACACACAATTGTAAATTTACTCACTGCCAGGATACGGATTATAAAATTCTACGAGGGTGCTTCGTTGTAACCGAACGCGCGAGCTGCACGAAACTGTGATGCGGGCACGTGTGCAGGTGCACAAGCAAGGTGCATTGTACTTGTTCGCGGCCCGTGAAAGGGAACAATGGGAGAGGCTCGTGCTAATTTTAATCGGCTCAGCCACTCGACGCTCAGACTTCTTTTTCTCGCGCAGAGATCGACACGTTCCTCGTGTACGATTGGCCGACTCGATACACAGTCATTTTACCGTTCAGTACTCGAGTTTAGTCAACTCGTTAAAAAGAATTCTGCTGACAAATCGTCATCTTTTTTTTTCGATGGATTTGAATATAAATTTTCATCACTGAGAATGTCGATTTTTTTTTTATAAAATCTGCAGTCTTGTTGAAAACGTTTCTTAGGTTTTTCATATTTATTTTCAACGGATATAAGTGAAACATTTCCGGAATAAATGCGCTGAACTTTATATCTCCAGTGAAAAATTCTCTGCGTGACTACAAAAGCGAGTATCGAATTTTTATCACGGCTGAAAGGGAGCCCCGTACAAAGGAGCGGGGCTTCATCTAAAGGGGATCGGGACAACGGTGCGAAATCGGTGATTTCTCTCAGCGTTCCCCCTCACGGGGATCCGCCACAAATCCAATCTCGAAGTCGTGAAACGACTTTTTCCCCACCGACGACGTCGCGTCGCTTACACGTACAACGCTTCCTCCCTTGCCCGCGTGGAAACTTCCACCACCGCGGATGAAAAAAGTTTTCCACGAACCCCGCGCCTCTGTTTTCTAAACAAGAACAAGTCCGTTTTCGCGGAGTAAGTGGAAAGTTCTTGGCCCCGAGTCCCGCGGAACTTCGCCGCTCGCGCGATGACATTCCCGTGCAATTTTCGGGTGAATCCTCGATAGTGTCGCTAATGGCTACTCACTTATCGATCACGTTCCAATGAAAGATGTAAGAAGTTCGCAGAAAGTTTCGTAACTATCTACTGATAGCTGCGACTAAAATGATTTACAATCGCTAGCCAACGTTTCAGGAGTTACAGAGTAACCCCGGCTGCAGGGAATTATAGATCTAAAGCGACTTTGAAATAACCCAGAGAGATCTCCATCTCTCTTTAATATTTCGTAGCAAAGAGATCCTTTGAATGTTGAAAAACAAAGCGGGGCGATATTTGCGAACAATGGCGCACGTACCTGTGCTTGCACAGCTGCGAGGTATAGCTGGGCCTCTCCCAGCTCGAACCGCTTCATGGAGATGTCTTCCTGTAGCTCGGCCACTTTCGTATAAAGATTGCTTTCGGCGCTCCTGCAATTAAAGGGTAGGGGGGCAAACCGTTAAACGATCCCGGCAGAAATTAACGGTCGAGTGTTCCCGAGTCGGTTCTACCGACGCAGAATGAAAACCGTGCTGCTTTTGTAACGTGTTTACCTTCAATAAATTGAACCGAGGGAAGCGGAACGAGAGGTAATTAGAACGAATTCTTTTTCTAGGTACTAATTATTTCTATCTGCGTTTGCCTACCGGCTTATCGATCCACGAGCCAGCATGGCGAAGTTGTACCGCGATATTACTCAATACCTCATCCCTCTATTAAGTAACGGATTCCAGAGAAATATGTTTCAATTTGCTATCGCGAATGAAACTATTCTCGTATTTTTATTTCGTTTAAAAAAAAATATGGGATAACGTACTTTCGTTGCATTCGCGTGAAAGAGTCTAGGGCTTCTTGCAGTCTAGTGATTTCTTGAGTAAGATTATCGTGTTCCCGGCGTAGATCCTCCATCATGGGCAGAGTGCTGGCTCCTGTCGGCGCCAGCTCATCCCTTAGGGGCGGTATTTGGTTGATTCTCTCGATGGGAACCTGTTCCGGCGGTCCTGGTGCCACGAACAGGCGCCTGGAAGGCTTCTTTGAAGGGGTAGCGGTCGCTGCGAGGCTCCTCGCTAAAACCTACGCATATACGTAACAAACGTCTCACTCCCTTCGTACTCCCACATCGTGAATCAAGATTGTCTTCATATCTGAGAATTCGCGATAGAATTGCATGAACAAGCTCTGTGAATTGTACGCTCCAGTGATCATAAGCCGATCGCGACTTCTTAGTAACTGAACTGTGTGGGCTGATAACAATATATTCCACATACGAGGATGTTGTCGCCCACGGGACCGTTCATCCGTAATTCGTGTAACTCGTGATAAAACGTGGATCCCTGACATACCTGCAAGTCGTTCAACGGCGCTACGACTTGAGCCTCCTTGGCGACCGATTGGTAACGCTTCGCCTGCTCCCCCGCACATTCCGCCGCCGCCTCGGATATCCCGGCTACACACTTGCAAGTTAATCCGCACAGTTCCTCGTAGATCTCTGCTATCTCGCCGAGGATCCCCGGTAGGCATTGCGACTGGTATCGTTCGTTGATGGCATTCGTCGCCCGCAGTTGGAGAACGTACGCGTTGTGCGCCTCGTAGTAGGCGCGCTTCAGCTCCTGTTCGTTGCCGCCATCTGTTGTCAGTAAAGTCGCGTACGCCCGTTTGTACTCGCCGCGGGCACGCTGCAGCTTCTCCTCGCTCTTCGCGACCACCTGCTCGTAGGCCTCGCGATGAGCAAACACCTGAGAACACAAAATTCACTATGCCTTTTTTATGGAATCTTATGCTGTGAGATTCACCATGGAAGATCTCGCGATCGATTGATGTCGTATTAGAAATCAGACCGTACAAGAGAACAAAAAAAAAGATGCAAAGCATGTGAGGGTATCAGAAATTATCCTCTTGAAGCTGCGTCGCTGGCCTCAGGCTGGATCGTTCCCCAGGATTCGTTCTCCTCCTCCTTTGATCTCTTCATTTAATCTTCAATCGGCTGTTCTTATAAAGTATTGAATCGGTAAACGAGTGGATCACCTTTCTGGATTGGAGTTTCCGATGGAAACTGGCCTCCAACGTTGGCCTCGACAGCTGTTGTTGAAGAACCGCTGCTAAATCTAGGTGAGCCTCTGCGTCCGACTGCACCTGCCGCAACAGATTCTCCCAGACGCGGCGCATCCCTCCGGAATCCACCCTGGCGTCGCCGGCCCTGGTCCGGAACTCGTCGACCAGGCGCCGTACATTCGCTGAGTGGCTCTCCATCGCCGCGCCCAACTCCTGGGCGAACTCTGACACTGTTGACAGACCAGGAACCATGGGCTTTAGAACCAATTTGAATATCAGTTGTATCTAATCAGGTTAATTGACACTCGGCTAATTGTCGACCCGTCGATAATGATCAGCGAGTAGATTCCATGCATTTATAAGGAAAATTAAGGTTTTTAAATGTATAATATAGATAATTATTTTAAATAACAGAAATCTCGATTCAGATTTCTTTTATTAAATATTTCATCGAATACGCAGCGGTGAGAAACACGTGCATAAATCGTGTTAATTTTTTACCAAGTTAACGTACACATTTATCTCTGAATTTATCCGCGGAAAGCGTTGTTGCCTCGGGGTTGAACAACTCTCGCCCGGCGCACAATGCATTCTCTGTTCGTATCGACTGGAGTTTAATTGTTTATTGATACAAGAGCGATCTGTTCGTCGAAATATTTGAAGAGAACTCGACGTCTCGTGTACTCTGTTACCACGGATGTATCTGACATTACGCACCTCGCTGTCTACGGTTTTAAACGATCCCGGCCGAGGCGGGAACGAACCCAGGCAATGTTTAATTAATTGAATTGCTGTGGATTGAAACCTTGTTTGCTATTCGACTGGCCAATTTATTGACGCTTTCCCGCTTCTCGTTCGCCCAAACGCAAAAACGATTATCAGCCATAAATAGCAATAAGACCATGTGCTACCCTTTGGTAAAACGTTTTCAAACGAACATAACATTAAGTAAGAATTCTTGATGAATGAAAATAGAAGAGCAATTCATTGTGAAGTAGCATTTTAGATATTGAAGCTTTATGTATGTACGTCATATCTTTAGACTATTAAGGAAACGTCAGGCTGAAGTGTTCGTGTTTCCTTCGCATCAGAGAGAATTTATCGGACGGTAAGGATATTAAACGGCCGTTTGTCAGTGTCTTCATCTAGCAAGGAATATATAGATTATATGAGCGCCTCGTCGGGCAACACCTTGGCACCGTCTTGGGGGCCTTACAACGTGTGCGCTTTTTTTTTTTTCACGTGTTCAATGATCGCTACTCGTTGACGTACATCGGTTACTTTTAGCAGATTACACGGCCTGTTGCACGGCGCATATAAATCTCTGTAGAATTTCGTATCTTCGAGTGGCCAGGCTAACGTAAACTTGGCCTGCCACCGGACCTGGCACGGATTTTAATCTCGACCGCAACGCAAATCCACATTCTTATTTTCCCAGCCGTCCTCGTGACGCAAAAACCTTGCCGAAACGAAATATACGAGGATATTTACAAGCATTATATTTTAGCATTAACGTTCGATAATTAAATTTTAATCAAACCCCCCCGATTGTATCCATTAAGGAATTTTGAAAATAATAAATCAACCGGGGTATCAATTTAACTCGATATACAGGGCTCAGGTTTCGCTTTAATTTAACCATCCTTCGCATCGTTACAGCGGTTTCATAGCAGATGCAAGAATCGTGATTCACTTCGCGAAGTGATGAAACGGCGAAATTAATTTCAGCGAGGATAGTTTACACTCGGATACCCGCAATAACAGTTTTTGAGGCGTAAAAGAAAGGTTGCATGCATGGAATGTCGTTGCATTACTTTTCCCCTTTTATCATCTAATTTGTCGAGTTTCAGGGTGCACGAAATTCTCTCTTCCTGAAATTAAAATACAGACTGGCTTGTTAGAGAAGATTATAACGCGAAAAAGAAATAAAAACAGAATATTTTATGGGGATTCTTTATACTCAAGTCTATTAACCCTGCGGACCACTGAAGCAGAAATTCCGATGCCGGAGTCATTTCTGACCCAGACCGATATTTCACTAATGCATATTTGCGGTCGTCCGCGCAGCCACGCTTGCTGGAAAGACGAGGCACTTCGTACACACACTATTCCATCGCTGTGTGCGTTATCGCTCTTGAGACGAGACGCTCGATCGCGAGTCCCGCTACTCCGGGGCAATAAACTGAGAATTAAAAAAACATAAAAGTTTGTGATAAATAATCATAAAGGGATGAAATTTTCGACGTTCGAACCGGAAACGCTTCCTCTTTAAAATGCAGTTCGATTCATCTTGATCCGATTTCTAGTTCCAGAGATATTGTCACGCGAAGACGAGCATAACTCTTTCAATGCTGTTCTATCGTCGTCCTTCTCGCACGTCCACCGGCTCACGGACCTACCCTAATGTCTACTAACCAGTGTAAACACTCGGCTGAAACGTGTTTCAGGAAAAAACTAGGTCACTGTGTCAATAATATTACCGAACGCTGTGCGTAAACTTTGGGAACCTGTATCTCCAGAACGGATTGAGATTTCATGATGAATCAAAAACGATTCCTCTCGTTTTGATCTCCTGTATCTCCTGGGAGTGAACGTTAATTAAAAATTCTCACAATACTAGCATCGATTCTGATATAGAAGCATCGCGTGGGTATTGAATTCTTGCCACTTCGCCAGATCGTTTCTATCCTAATTGACTGTTTCAATTTTATTTTCTACAGGATTTTTCCGGTCGTTTAATTTTCGAACGGTGCTCCGTCAAAGAGCTTTAAAGAACGATTGGGACGCGAGTATAGAGGAGGTTGCATAGTGAAAAATTCAATTATTACCATTGACGTCGGCCGTCCTCGCACCCGGGGCTCGGTTAACGAGCACGGAATTGACATTCAATTACATGGACGTGTCTAAAAATAGGAAACCGACTTGATTAATTCCGTGACACGGCGAACTTCACGCCTCGGACGAAATAGGCCAGCAGCGTGACATCGCCGTCATCAAGTATTAATATTTATTCGCTGCAGTCATTTTTCTTGATTAAGGGATCGGGCAACGCGGTTAAATGTTAATCAACAAGTCTTCATTCCCATTTCCGAGTAGCTGCCGGCCCGAAACGATGGTTCCCGGGTCTTGAAGAATTTTTCAACGACCCCGTAAGTTCTCTGGGGGCGAACCGTGCCAGCGTCTCCGGTTGAAAGTTCGCCGCAACTTCCAAAATACAATCCACTTAACTCGTGTCCGATAAACGCTTCCCATCGGCTCCCATTTTAGGCGACGTCAAAATATTGTATTACCGTCACACGTATTATCCACTCACGAAAATTGCTCTCGCGAATAATTGAACGACCATCTTATACTTTAATTTCAGATATCATTTTTAATTTATATTAAAAGCAGTATAAAAATTTATATCAATTAATCAATCATTTTTAATAAATTGTGCAAATAATAATCTTTAATATTATTGATTGAACGTTTAATATATTGATAAGAATTCTACCACTACACGTGATTACAGATAAAACTCGGTATTACAAAAAAAATCGATGGAGGTAGAATAGAAGGCAAGAGTTTTTGAGAAAGTTCCAGGGTTATCTTGAGATTTCTCGTCTAAGCTGCGTGTTTTCATTACACCGGTTGTTTGTATACCTGTGAGCGATCAATGCACACGCGGGTGCAACGTGTACGGCGCGTCCCGTGTCACCAAGATAACGGGAATCGATTATCTACGAAGCTGCGTAAATAAACCCACCCTTCAGACTACGAACGGAAATTCTCCGTCTGCCGAGCGATTTCGATTCCACTGGGGTTGTTAAGTTCCTTTTCTAATACATTTTTCCAGTAATTGCATAAAAGCTGAATGGCTTATTAATAAGTACAATTCATTTTATTACGACGTCTGATAGATAGGGAGGATTTATAAGAAGGATAGAACTTCTTACAAGCAGATGCATTCTGATTAATC